TGAGCTGCATACATTCAGCCCACGGTTTTAGTTGTATATAGATATCATACTAAAGAATTTCTGTAGTTTCATAATTTTGCATTGAACAAGTCCCCCAGCCCCCACATTTAGCCCATTAAAATGCCCCAGGTTTTTAATTTTGTGAATATTTCAATGGAAGTGACACAGGTGCATTAAAATAGCTTGAAATTCATAATCTAGAGCTTGTAAATTATTATGTTAATATTATAATCATTGTTTAATCATTCATCTACAAGTGTATATTGCATAATTATATATTGTATACTATATTCATGTAAGTTCTTATAGGTATTCCACATCTGGGACAATGGGATAAAATGGGTGAAAGATTTGCTTTTCTCTAAGTTGTCAGGAAAAGTAATTTAGAGTGGGATACACTTGCATTAAATAATGAAAATATTATAAATATATGAATGTCATAAAGTCACGGTGTTTTGGAATGCTCCAGGACCCTGGAAAATTTTAATGCAGTTTTCTTATTTTACATAATGGGAAACTAAGACCCACACTGGTGTTTAATAAAGGCTGTGGAAAGAAAATCAATGTATCATATTTCCTATTTTTTTTTTTTCTGCTGAAGACCATACATCTACATGTACCTGTAAAGGAAAAATGGCATGGATATTCAGTGCTTAAATTGAGGAGTATTATTATTACAAGTAAAACTTAAAGTTAACAGTATAGATTCATGGGGGGGCAGAACACATTTTAAGGGTCAAAATAGTAGATTTATGTACATTCTCAGTAAACTGATTCACTGGGTTTTTAAATTTTTCTGACTTTTAAATTACCTTTGGAACGGCATAGCATTGTTTCCTAAAGTTATTTTAGAAATTACATTTCCCATTTTTTCTATAAATAATACTGTGGCTTTTATGATGCACGAGTACACATTGAGACCTGATAGTAATGTTTTCTGATCCCTTTCGCTTTCTGAAATGACAGGCAAGCTCATGGGTTAGAGTCCATTGCCCCCAGTCGCTTGAATGAGCTTTTCTTTATTATTCATTTTAATGTTAAGGAATGAACACTTTAGTACCAAGTACTAAACAGCCTTCCTTTAGACGCACAGTGATTGGAAATAAATATTAGCACAGATTACTCAGTCACTTTATTTTACTTTTGCTGTTAGCCCCACCCCCAATGTTTTAAGTTAGCTGGGTTTCTTTAAAACTTGTGCTTTTAGTGTTTCATTGATTGATCCTAAACTCCATGCTTGGTCCTTCCAGTCATTCTTTTTTTTTTTAAAGAGAGAATTTTTTAATATTTATTTTTCAATTTTTGGTGGATACGACAGCTTTATTTTATTTTATGTGGTGCTGAGGATCGAACCCAGTGCCCTGCGCATGCAAGTGAGCCACATCCCCAGCCCTCCTTCCAGTCATTCTTAACCTTGACCTTCACAGTGGAACTAATTCTACAATTCCTCTACCTCCCCAATTCACCTCCCCAATTCCTCCCTTTGTGCCCCTCATGAAGCATCTGTGGAGAAGAAAGACGAAACCATACCTTAATGAAAGATTCTGCTTCCTTTCCTGCAAGGCTGAGTTCTAGTGACAAGCAGATCTCTGTTCAGCAGCAGGAGAAGCTGCTTGGGAAATGTGGTTTTGAGCAGATTTTAATAGTTAATATTTATTTTGTAACCATTTATTGTTAGACATTAAGATTAGTCCTTTCAGGGCTGTGGATACAACTCAGTTGATAGAGTAGTTGCCTAGCATGCACAAGGCCCTGGTTTAACCTCAGCATCACCACCAAAAAAAAAAAAAAAAAAAAAGATCTTTTGCTGGGTACTGTGGCACTCGTCTGTAATTCCAGCGGCATGGGAGACTGAGGCAGGAGGATTTCAAGTTCAGAGCCAGCTTCAGCAACAGCCAGGCACTAAGCAACTCAGTGAGACCCTATCTCTAAATAAAATACAAAATAGGGCTGGGGATGTGGCTCAGTGGTTGAGTGCCCCTGAGTTCAATCCCTAGTACCAAAAAAAAAAAAGATTTGTTCTTTTAAAATTATTATTGTGACTTTTACTTGTAGATAGATACAACACTTTTATTTTATTTGTTTTTATTTTTATGTGGTGCCAGGGATCGAACCCAGTGCCTCTTGCATGCTAGGCAAGCACTCTACCACTGAGCCATAACCCTGGCCCTAAAATTATTTTAATTAGTCCCTTTTAACATTATTCTTAAAATCGTGTTAACAAAACCCAAAGCCAGAATTGAGAAAGGCCAGGTATAGGTTTGTACTTGAAAAGTAGGGTCATGCTTAGTCTTGACTACTGAGCTCAGAATGTGTACATTTTAATTCTAATCTTATTTAAGGAGTGGAGTGCAGGCAGGCCTGGTATGTAGACCTTCTCACGCCATTCACGGTTTTGGCAGTTTCCAGCAAAAGGAAAGCAGCCTGTCTTATCTTGAACATGTTGGCTTCACAAAGAATCTTTTCTTTCAGGAACTGGGAATCAAGAAGCAAATCCCACCCGTTACTTTCTAGCTAAATAAGTTTCCTCATCTTTAAAGTGAGCAGAATAATGGTGTATCAACTCAGGGGCATTGAGAACAGATCATGTACAGTTCAAGCAGTGTCCAGCATGCAGCCTGGCTACTGGGCCTCCTCCTCCTCTCCTTTAATTGATATTCATGGTTTTTTAGCTGTTTATTCCAGCCCAGAAAACCATCCCAGGTCTGAGTAGCTTAAAATGATTACTTTTTCATATGTCGTTATTTTGCAAATCATGAATTTAGGCAAAGCGTAGCTGGGCAATTCTGCTCCATGTGGCATCCATTGTGACCCCTTGATGGTTTTCAGGGTCTTAAAAAAATATATTGTTTCAGGGCTGGGATTGTGGCTCAGTGATAGAGCGCTTGCCTAGCATGTGTGAGGCCCTGGATTCAAACCTCAGCCCCACATATAAATAAATAAGTGAATAAAATAAAGGCATTGTGTTCATATGCAACTACAAATATGTATAAAAAAAACTCTTTAAATAAAATTACTTCAAATATCAAGTTGTGGCAGTCCTTGACATTCCTGGATGTGCCTTCTCAGGCAGGACTTGAAAACGCCTCCTCTGCCCGTGGTTGCCTCCTGTGCTCCATGGTGTCTTGTCCTGCACAGTGTTTCCTTGTGAGGAGGGCTGCAGCTTCTCCCTGTCCCCGGCTTTTACCTGTGCGTGTGGTGTCCAGTAGAAAGCCTGCCTTGGCCAGCGCCCAGGATCTAGCTTCTTCTCTTCTGCACATTATATAGTGTTTGCTGCTGGGTTTGGATCTGTGGTCAGGCGGGCACCAACTACTTTTTAGTTGCTAATCTGATTAGCCTTTAACTCTCTACCTTCTCATCTCTGTGGCCTGAGGAGCTGATGCTCAGTCACCCACCATTAGAAATCCCTGCCAGTGGCCTCGCAGACATTTGTCTTGTATCTTTTACTTCTTATCCCTTATTTATTAAAAGAAAACATTTTTTTTTTTTAAATTTTGTTCACAGCCTCACACATGCTGGGGACTGTGGTAGGTGCTAGTTCCACAGTTCAGCTGGCCAGTTTCCCTGTGGCCTTGGCTGTTGTCTGTGGTCAGAAGGGCCTGAAGTTGGAGGAAGGAAACCTAGGGAAGTTCGTCAGGGTAGCTGTGGGCCAAGCCAACAAAAACTGCATCCCTTCCTGATGTGTGCTGAGACCTTTGTGTCCTGCTCACAGGTGCTGCTCCTGGGTTGTCTGTCCTTCCCCAAAGGTCCCCACTTTGCCTCTCCTACGCAGCTAGTGTAAGTTCAGTGTCAGTGATTTGTGCTTCCTTCTCCAATTTTCCTTAAGAAAAGGCCCGTGTTTCTGACTCTTCTGGCCCCGGGGCTGGTAGCTGCAGACACTGGTCCCAGGCTGGTCCTTTTCTGGCTGGCTTCTGTGACAGCTTGGTGAACCCTTTAATTTCAAACATCCCCTGGTCTCAGAGTTTTTGTTTTAACATCTCAAACAGTGCCCCTGCCTTTTACAGTGAGTCTGTCCTTGCTAAATTGTGTCTGAACTGTTTCTGGAGCGTGGTCATGTCCAATTTTTGTGCCCAGTGTACAGTGAACTGGATGTAGGAAATGCTCTGTATGCTGTATGTATATTTTTGAAGCAGTCTTTCAGTATTTTATAGGAACAGAAAGGGAACTATTAAATGATTAAAGGCATTGCTTAGGGATTAAAGATGAACATTATATAGTATGTAAGAACATCATTTTAGGTGAGAGGTTGGGTTAAATAGAATGCAAAGTAAGTAGCCGTGTCAGCAGACTTAAATTTGAGCCCTCTTGGCATCTTTTTATATTATTCACAAACTGGGGCATATTGACACTTCTTGTATTTACTGTTATTTATTCTTGGTACCAAAAACGTGATTGTTAATGGGGACTGTTTCCATCTGCATGAATGTAGATGTGTTAATAACTTCTCTTCCTCTGATCTGTTTGGGGAATGCTTTGCAGGGATACTACTGATACATTTTTTGAAAACTATTAGAAGTCAGATTTCTCAGGGTGGTGTGTGTGGCTCAGCATAGAGCATTTGTTAGCGTGTGGAAAGCCCCAGCTTCATCCCTAGTACTGGGCAGGGATGGGGTGGGGGAGGAGAAAGAAATCAGATTTCTCCAGAAATTAACTGTGCTGCTATTAGCAGATCCTTTTTGTGTGGGATAAATCAAGAGTGTGAATTATCATGTAGTCAGAAGTTTAGTGTTCAGTTCTCTTTGGATTTGTCAGTGGACACAGTAGCTTTGTTAGATTGTTCTCCTGTTGTCTGATAAAGAACATGGCCACTGAATATGGAGGATGGGAGACTACCAATCAGCTTGTGCCTCTGAAGCCACAAAGAAACCCACAGGTCATGGCTCCTATTGTTAGTCATTGTGTCCCCATGCTGAAGGTTGTATTTACCAGGCTGATGTGCTCATTCTGAAACGCTGTTGGACATTTGAAAACAATAATTCCTTTTTATTTTGATTCTGTAGGGCCCTAGAAAGAGTGTACAATGAATGGTGATACTCGGGCTGCAGTGGTGACCTCACCACCCCCAACCACAGCTCCCCACAAGGAGAGGTACTTCGACAGAGTGGATGAGAACAATCCAGAATACTTGCGGGAGAGGAACATGGCACCAGATCTTCGCCAGGACTTCAATATGATGGAACAGAAGAAGAGGGTGTCCATGATTCTGCAAAGCCCTGTAAGAGGAGTGCTTTCTCTGAGCAGATGTGATCTTCTTATGCTGTTGTATGAGTGGCCTCATCATTTTTTCTAACACAGGAGGTAGTACCTCATATTGAGGTAGATGGTTGTTGAAGGAGTTCAGCTTAGTCTGTGTTATCAGACACAATGAAGAATCTTTAGTGTCAGAACGGAGAGGAGGCCTTTACTTCTCTTTCTTCCTGTCTTAACTGTTTCTCCAGAGGGCTTACTTTTTAATTTACTTTTTTTTGGTATTAAGGATTGAACCTGGGGTGCTTAACTACTGAGCCACATCTCTAGCCCTTTCTTTTTGTTTTTTTTGTTTTGAGAGAGGGCCTCACTAAGTTGCGGAGGCTGGTCTTGAACGTGTGCTCCTCCTGCCTCAGCCTCCCAAGTGGCTGGGATTGTAGGTGTACCACCATAGTCCCTGGCTCAGAAAATAGTTTTTTTTTTTTTTTTTAGGTACTAGGGATTGAACTCAGGGACACTCGACCACTGAGCCACATCCCTAGCCCTGTGATGTATTTAGTGTCACTGAGTTGCTCAGCGCCTTGCTTTTGCTGAGGCTGGCTTTGAACTTGTGATCCTCCTGCCTCAGCTTCTTGTGCTGCTGGGTGTGTGCCACCATGCCCGGCAGGGGGGAAAATATATATATATATATTTTTAATATAAGACAGCGGAGTGCATTACAATTCTTATTACACATATAGAGCACAATTTTTCATATCTCTGATTGATACACAGTACATTCACACCAATTTGTGTCTTCATACCTGTACTTTGGATAATAATGATCATTACACTCCACCATCGTTAACAACCCCGTGCCCCCTCCCTTCCCCTCCAGCCCCTCTGCCCTATCTAGAGTTTGTCTATTCCTCTCATGCTCCTATCCCACTATGAGTCAGTTTCCTTATATCAAAGAAAACATTCCGCATTGGTTTTTTTGGGATTGGCTAACTTCACTTAGCATTATCTTCTCTAACTCCATCCATTTAACTGCAAATGCCATGATTTTATTCTCTTTTATTGCTGAGTAATATTCCATTGTGAATATATGCCACATTTTTTTTATCCATTCATCTATTGAAGGGCATTTAGGTTGGTTTCACAGTTTAGTTATTGTGACTTGTGCTGCTATAAACATTAATGTGGCTGTGTCCCATGTGCTATTTTTAAGTCTTTTGGGTATAGACCAAGGAGAGGGATAGCTGGGTCAAATGGTGGTTCCATTCCCAATTTTCCAAGAAATCTCCATACTGCTTTCTATATTGGCTGCATCAATTTTCAGTCCCACCAGCAGTGTATGAGTGTACCTTTTACCCCACATCCTCGCCAACACTTATTGTTGTTTGTCCTCATAATAGCTGCCATTCTAACTGAGGTGAGATGAAATCTTAGAGTGGTTTTGATTTGCATTTCTTTAACTGTTAGAGGTGACGAACATTTTTTCATATATTTGTTGATTGATTGTACATCACCTTCTGAGAAGTGTCTCTTCAGGTCCTTGGCCCATTTAGAAAATCGTTTTGAACATCACATTTAACTGCATTCAATTGGCAACCCGATGGGGTCAACCAGAATGTATCTTGTTCACCTCTATAGTCTCTCTGTTTTCCCCTGGAACTTCACCACTAGCAGTTCCAGGTGACATTTAGCTAGCTGCTACATGTCTTTGCACCTGTTCTTCCCCGAATGCCCTTCTTCTGCCTCTCTCTATCTCCCTCTGGTATCCCTGTGAAGTCTCGCTCAGGGGGAGCAGGCCCTCCTTTCTATGAGCTGTTTCTGTCTCCGGTCCATAATGGAACACCTGCAGGACTGGCTCTCACCAGCCACTGGCTGAGAGGTTCTGCCGTTACTTGTTCTTCCCACATATCCTTGGCATGACACTATTTCAGACAGCAGAAAGGGGAACTTTCTTTTTCTCATCCACTCCTCAGAGAATTAAGAACTGTGTGCACACCAAGCGCTGTGATAACATTAGGGATAAAACAGTGATGTTTTCAGAGTATACCTGTTAGAATTTTCTCCGCCCCATTTGTTGATACAGTGGGAGGAAGGAAAGATAGATTTGGATGGTTTTTACCACCTAGAGTCTGAGTGCATATCTTGGCTTCATCATTTGGTCGTCCTGTAACTTTGGCCAAGTTTCCAAGTTTTTCCATACCTCAGTTTTCCATTTGTAAAGTAGGCTCCTTTAGAATTGTGACAGGGGTCAAGTGGGTGTTATGTGTAAAGCTCTTAGACTGACTGATGTGGTGGGGTTTTGGGCCTGAGCAGCTAGAAACATGAAAATGAGCATTTCTAAGACTGGGGAGAAGAAGTCCCCATCTCAGCATTCCCACGTGGAGAGCTTTTGTAGGAGTGGGATTTTAAGCCTGAAGTTCGGGGAGAGATCTAGGCAAAGAAGCCAGCGTGGGAGCCCTCAGCACACTGTGTGGGCAGAGGAGCTCATCAAGGGAGGAGTGCTGGCAGAGGAGAGGACTGAGGGCTGTGCTCTGGGAGATGGGCAAGAACTAGCAGAAGAATCTGAGAAGGAGTAGCCAGTGGCGTGGGAAGAAAACCAGGAGAAGCCCAGTGCAGGGAGTCTCTGCAGAGGCTGGAGAGGTGGCTGGGCGGAGTCCTGCAGAGCCTGGTGTTGGTCTTGGGTAATTTGGTGAGCCGCAGGTGAGAAAGGCAGAGCCCCTGGACTCCAGAGGGTGTGAGGAGAGAAATCGGACTGTAGAGCTGGACAGTTTCTTTGAAGCCTTTTGCTAAAAGGGAGCACAGAAGCGAGGCAGTAGCTGGAGGGGGTGTGGGACTGAAGAAGTCTTCCTGGTCAGGTGGGTGAAATGACAGTGCGTTTGCACACTGAAGGAGCTGTCCAGGGGAGAGGGAAAAGCCATGGCACAGGAGAGGGGGACTGCAGATGTCCTGTCCTTTGATGGGCCAGATGGCATGGGAGCCAGAGTGCAAGCAGAGGGTGGGTCTCAGCCCAGTGAAGAGGGGGAGGCGAGTGGGGCACTGCCCTGATGGCTGGTGGGTCCAAGCAGGAGCTTGTGAGGTCTCTCCTAAAATAGGTAGGATCACCTGTTGAGAATGGGCACAGGGAGTGGCACAGGAGACTGCAGGAGAGAGAGGGCATGAAGTGGGGCAAAGGGCCAGGAGAGTCAAGAATGGCCTGGGTTATTGCAGATGGGGACAGAGCCAGAGGCCATGGACTTGGGTCAGAGAGCGCAGAGCAGTTATGTGGCCCGTCTTCATTCCTGCCTGCCCCAGCCCCTTTGCCCAGCACCAGGAGAGGGAAGGAGAGTTGAGATTTTTCCACATGAAATGGTAAGAAGTTGGAGAAATGACTGGAAGGTGAGGGTCATGATGGGATGGAAGAAAGATGAGTTGGCTGCTAGGAGTGGGCATATCCGCAGGATGGCCTCGGGATCCAAGAGGGGCATAGTTACCAGGAATGACAAGGCCTGGGGTGTGGCCATGGGATTGGGGGCTGAGGTGGGCTGGAGGAGGGGGGATCTGGAGGTGGAGAGGCAGCACTAAGGAGACTGAGCTATTGGGAGTTGAGACCACAGGATCAGGGTGAGGGCCTCTGCTGTGCCTGCTATGGGGGTGGTGCCGGGTGCAGGGGGCACCTCCAGGACTCCTGGTCACCGCCCAGCCAGCCCCTGGCCGTTTGTGCTGTGGATGCACAGGGCCTCTGCACTGTACCTTTTCCCTTTTGTTTTCTTCACTAAGGTTTGGAGTTCTTATCTAAAGTTTGTCCTCAGTCTGTTCATAGTGGTGTAAGTGGATTTGGAAACCACTGAGATGATTTGGGTGAGTTTTCAGCCTGAGGGCCCTGAGTGCAGAGGGCCTGTTCCTTCAAGGCTCTCGCACCCCCTGTGGCCAGCATTGCTCACCCGCTAGAGGCCAACTGTATCTCTCTCATTTATTTATTTTTTCTTGGTTCTGTGGATTGAGCCCAGGGGTGCTGTACCACTGAGCTACACACCCCCAGCCTTTTCTGGAATTTATTTTGAGCCAGGATCTTGCTGAATTGCCCAGGCTGGCCTTGAATTCGAGATCCTCCTGCCTCAGCTTCCTGAGTTGCTGGTGTGCACCCCTGCAGCTGTCCATTGATTATGTTCTGATGATTTATTTCTTGGTTGGTTTTCCCTCCCTTATTGACTACCACAGAATATGATCTGTGATATTACGTATCATGATATGGTGGTAGGTAGGGGTTCTTGAGAGGGCTCTTTTTCTTTTTTCTAAGTACTGGGGATTGATCCCTGGAGTGCTTTACCATTGAACTACACCTAGGCCTTTTAAAAAAAAAAAAAAAAAAAAAAAAAAAAAAATATATATATATATATATATATAGTTGTAGATGGACACGATATCTTTTTTAAAAAAAAATATTTTTTTAGTTGTAGTTGGACACAATTGAACACAGTACCTTTATTTTATTTTTTTAATTTATATGTGGTGCTAAGGGTTGAACCCACACTGCACTTGTGCTAGGCAAGTGCTCTACCCCTGAGCCACAACCATAGCCCCTCTTTATTTTATTTTTATGTGGTGCTGAGTATTGAACCCAGTGCCTCATGCATGATAGGCAAGCGCTCTACCCCAGAACCACAACCCCAGCCCATTCATCCAGACTTTAAAACAATTTTTTTTTTTTTTTTAGTGAAGGCCTCACCAAGTTTCTGAGGCTAGCCTCAAACTTGCCATCCTCCTGCCTTAGCCTCCTGAGTTGCTGGGATTACAGGTGTGCCCCATGTTGACTAGCTCTTTAGTGGGCTCTGGGGTGACACCTACTTCTACTGCTGAATTACCAGCAGTGGATTTTTTGTTGCCCACATCCCCAGACTGTCCTTAGCAGTTTTCGGCTGATATTCCCAGTTCAAGCAATGAAGAAATAGAAGTTAGTTGAATGGGGGATCATCAGGTCCCTAGAGTACTTACGATTACGAGTGGGTCATCATCAGGGCGCTCACATTTTCATAGTGGATACCACTTACAACTTTCTGATAAGAAGATGAGTATTTCTTTATAGACTACATGAAAAATTGTGTTAATTAAGTTTACAGAAACTATAAAATGTCTGCTGTTACAATAGTGACTTTATATTACAAGCACCATCAATCCAATGGAACCTTTTTGAGTAATTTAATAGAATATGAAAATTACTAGTAATTCTGTCACTAAGAGAATTACAATTAATGTTTTTAATGAATTTACTTGTAGTCTTTTCTGTTTAGATATATATTTACTCTTACAGAAACTGGTTATATTGCTTTATGACCATTTTGACTCAAAAATACACCAAGAGCCATTATCTGCCCTTAAGTTTTTACAGCTTTTGAATGTGTACATAAAGTTCTCAGGGAATCTACTCAGTCCTCTGTTGTTAGAAATGGAGGCTACTTTCTCTCTTTTTTTCCCCCTTTCTATATTGGGGATTGAACCCAGGCTTTAGACATGCCAGGCAAGTGCTCTACCTCTGAGCACCCAGACCCTGTTCTTGTGTTTTGAAAGTAATGCTGAAATGCATGCTTTTATGAACAAATCTTGGAGGACATCCTGATTATTTTCTTGAAATAGATTCCTAGGAACACCTGTTCATATTTTTAAGTTTTTATTTTATGAAACAACTTAGTAGAAAAGAATATACCTTTTATATTCCCAGTAGTAATGTATGAGAATCTCTCTTACTTTTCCAGCAGTGGCTGAAAACAAACAAATTGGTTTATGTTATAGTCACCCCTTAACACACAGAAATGTTATTTCACTTGTTTTGTTAGGCTTTCTGTGAAGAGTTGGAGTCAATGATACAAGAACAATTTAAAAAGGGGAAGAACCCCACAGGCCTATTGGCATTGCAGCAGATTGCAGATTTCATGACCACCAATGTACCAAATGTCTACCCAGCAGCTCCACAAGGAGGGATGGCCGCCTTAAACATGAGTGAGTAGTTCTTATCTTTTTGGTGGTACTGGGGGGATTGAACCCAGGGCCTTGTACATGTGAGGCAAGCAGTCTACCAACTGAGCTATGTCCCCAGCCCCATGTTGAGTAACTTGGAAATTAATGTGTTTTAGTCAGTTATGGTGAAAATGAGGCTGTGAACCCAAAATGTTTTGAATATAGAGGACCCCTCTCCTATTAAACTGAGAAGATTCAGTTGTTTCCAAGGCACATGACTTTATGTGACTTCTGAGGCCCTTGGTGGATTAAAGTAGCTAATCAGGGATCATGCTCACATGTAGCACATCAGTTTTGACGGAATTCATTTATCCAGGCCAGCATTTCTTACACATGAGTATTTCTTACCGGACCTGCCAATTGTCAGTGCTGCTTGCAAACTAGTGAGAAGTGCCCTAGTGAGGGTGAGCGCAGGACAGCCTTCAGGGGAGTGCACTGTGGCTGCACACAACGCGCCCGACCAGGCAGTCTGGCCCCCTGCGTGTGGTGTCCTGGGTTGCCGCCACTGAGTCCAGCTGGAGAGTCAGACCTGGCTGGCTGTGTCATAGGTTGCCTGCCTGCTCTGTGTGTTCTCAGCGGGTGACTGGCGGTCAGCAGCTGTACTCCATTAATGTCTGTGGAGCACTGAGAGTTGCATTTGGTTGGCCAGCTGAGGCTTCTGTCCTGAAGTCTGATGGCTGTGGCAAGGTTTTCATGTGTGTGTTTTTGTTTTTGTTTTTTAAGGCGGGGGTACTTTTTTTTTTTGCAGATTTTCATGTTTTTAACAGATTTCAATGATATTTGGTATGAATTAGATAATAATAGATTTTTAGTTGCATATTGTTTTCTAATCAAAGATGAAGGAAAAAAGAGAAAGGAAAGAAAAACGAAGGGAAACGACCTCCTCCTCTCTTGAGTCCTTTTTCCTTCTTGTGCTACTGCTGTGGCGGGGACCCTGGCACGGTGTCCAGGGTCCAGTGCAAGGGTGAGCGCTCAGTCCTGGCGCTGTGCCTCATCTTATGCACAGCACGTTCAGCCTCTGGTCAGGTGTATGTTGGGTTGGATTTTCGTAGATAACCTTTTTGAAGTTGAGGGTGTATCCTTCAGTTTCTGTTTGCTGAGAGCTTTTATCCTGAATGTTGTTGGATTCTGTGGAATGCTGCTTCCGAATCTGGTGAGATGTCCCGTGGCTGACAAGAATTCTTCAGTGTGGTGTGGGGAGTGCACTGACTACTGTTTGAATGCTGAGCTGTCCTTCCATTTCTGAGATGAGCCCTACTGGTTATGACTTTTTTTTTTTTTTTTTGGTAATTTTTTTTAGTTGTAGATGGACACAAAACCTTTTATTATTTTATTTATTTATGTGGTGCTGAGGATCAAACCCAGTGCCCCATGCATGCAAGGCAGGCTACCACTAAGCTACAGCCCCAGCTCCCAGTCATGACTTTTAAAAACATTTATCTACTGCTGGATTATTTGCTAAGGTTATATTAAGTACTTTTTGGTGTAGGAAAGTTTATGAAAAGCATTCATCTGTTTTTATTGTGATTTCTGTGTGTGATTTGGGTAGCAAGGTAATGCTGCCTCATGGAGCGAGGTGGCAAGTGTTCTGGAAGAATTTGTATAGACTTGGTATTATTTCTCCCTAAATGGTTGACAGAATTCATAGTGTCATGCCTACAGTTTTCTTTTTTTTTTTGGTACCAGGGACTGAACCTAGGGGCGCTTAACCAGTGAGCCACATCCCCAGCCCTTTTTAATGTTTTATTTAGAGAACAGAGACTTGCTGAGTTGTTTAGGGCCTCCCTAAGTTACAGAGGCTGGCTTTGAACTACTGATCCTCCTGCCTCCCAAGCTGCTGGGATTACAGACGTGTGCTACCGTGCCCTGGCCTGGCCTAGAGTTCTCTTTGTGGAAATGGTTGTAACTGTAAATTCAGCTTAATAGGACTTTTTAGGATATGTGTTTTTAATTTTTAATTCTTTTCTATATCTTCTTTAAAAAAACCAGCTTCTAATCTAATCAAAAACCTTAATTTTTTTTTTTCTAGTTTTTATTTTTTTGGTATGGGGATTGAACCAGGAGCACTAAACTACTGAGCCATAGCCTCAGCCCTTTTTATTTTTATTTTGAGGCAGGGCCTCACTAAGTTGATGAAGCTGGCCTTGAACTTTTGGTCTTCTGCCTCAGCCTCCTGAGTTGCTGGAATCACAGGTGTGCACCACATGCCCAGCAGTTCTCTGAGTTTCCTTCTAAGCATGCCTTTCTGTATGCTACAGATTTGGCTTCCTTTTCTCTCTGTACTTCTATCTTATAGTAATTAATATTGAAGAGCAGGCTCTTTGTGTCTTAGAAGTTTTTGAGACTTTATGAATGAATGTGGAAGATAAACATCTCAGAACTTAGTTATTTGATTTAAATTTGATAGGAAACACTAATATTTGAGTTTTGTTTTTCTTCATTCCAGGTCTTGGTATGGTGACTCCTGTGAATGACCTCAGAGGATCGGACTCCATTGCTTATGACAAAGGGGAGAAACTGCTGCGGTGTAAACTGGCAGCGTTTTACAGGCTGGCAGATCTCTTTGGGTGGTCCCAGCTCATCTACAATCACATCACGGTGAGTGTCACACGGGGCAGGCGCTGAGCAGGAGTGGAATGGCCCACGTCTGGCACCAGCCCCTGCAGTCAGGAGAGGGAAGCAGCCTTGCAATCCTTTCTCTTCAGATGCTGGACTAAAGAAGAATGATCTCGAGAATTGGCAAGTCAGAAATTATGAGGATAGCTGCTTTTCAAAATTTCTTTCTTGCCTGGTAACCTAATAAATGAGTGTTTACCAAATTATAGGCAGTTCCTAAAATTCCTTTCATACTTACAATTTCCTTCCAAATCAGATCAAGGTCTTCTCTTTTTCACACTCACTTGTCTCTCCATCTGCTCCAGTTCTAAGCTTTTTTAAATATAATCAGTCCATTTCTTTTCTTCAGTACATTCTTGTAACAAATATTACCGGATACCTACTGTCTTGTACCAGGCCTTGTTCTAATTTGAATTATGTCAGTGAATGAGGAGTCTAACCCTGGTGGGTGGTTCCTTTTTCGTTCTAACCATCAGCCCTATTTGCTTGCTTTTGTCCATCATGCTGTCATGGTCCATTGTTTCAGTCTTGTGCTGCTTGCTGCTCCTGCATCTCGGCAGCCAGCTCCTACTGTAGAGTCTCATCACAGAACCCATTGGCTTTCTGCTATCTTCAGAGCTCCAGACCTGCCCCCCAGCAAATGACCTCATTATGCCACAGAAAAAATGGGATGCTTTGCCATTATGTCCTCTTGGCGGCCTCTCCCAGGGCCCTGCCTCTGATCAGACTTCCTCTCCTGGCTTGGCACCTCATCTGCTCCTGCCCTTTTACATTGTTCAGGCATCAGCAGGTGTCTTGTTAGTGTTGTTGTTCTTTTATAGAGATGGCTTTTTTCTCTGAACTGCTTCTTTGGGTTGGTTTTTAAACTTTTGCAGTCGTGTGTGTGTGTGTGTGTGTGTGTGTGTGTGTGTATGTGTGTATGTTTCCATTTAATTTCCTTTATTGGATATTTAAAATTATTAATACGGTACCTGCTGTTGTAACATCTTAGGAGGGCCACTTAGATTGTTTAGTCCTTTTCTCTCTCTCACACTCACGCACACGCATGCACTCACACATGTACACACTCCCACGCTCACACACTCATACTCACACACACACTCCCACAGGGTGGTTTTCCGCACATGGACTCGTACCCCGTGGTGCTTGGTTCGGTTATCTTCTGGACTTGAAGGACTGTCCAATCCCCTGAGCTGATAGTCTAGAGCCCACCCTTGTGGCCAGTGTGCTGGGTGTCTGAGACTGGACATTGATCTCAGGCAGGGCTCCTGAGTTGCCCTCTCACTTATTCATTCTCATTGTTTAATGTGAACTTGACAATTACAAAATGCAGGCTGCTCCTGTCCTGCCCATGTGCTGCACTTACATGGTATGGTGCGCGGCTTCCCATAGCAGTGGCCTTCCCTCTGTGAACTTCCTTGTTGTTTGGCTCCACCCACAGCAGTGTCAGCTCTCTAAGGGGTGGTGCAGTCCTGGTCCCTGTTGTGGCCCAATATCAAGAACGGTGCCTGCATAGGATCCACGCCATCAGTACCTGTGGGGTGATCAATGGAATGACAGCCCCGCTGAGCCGAAATTACCTCAGTAAAATGACAAGCAAGAGCTGTTAGGCCTTTTGTTTTTTGCTCAGTAATCCAGTCGGCCAGCACATTGTGGGCTCCCTGGTGTCTGCTGGAAAGTTGCTGGCCTCTGGTCATCATGCTTGACAGGGTGCTCTAGTGGAGACTCAGTGCTGGATAGTTGCTTAAAAACTAGTTCCGTGGAAATGTTTCCAGCTGTAATAGGAAATGTAATCCATGGCTTTAATAAAAGCTTCACATTCTTTGCAGGTTTTTAAAATGCTGTCTACCACTAGTCCTTTTATAATGCTATATTTAAGTAAATCTGACTCATGTAAATTACGTGTTTTTTCCTTTAATTGTTTAGGAATTGATAGAATTAAAACATTATAGTTAAGTGTTTTAGTCTCCTGTGAATGGTCACTTGGGTCTTAATGCTGAGTGAAAAGAAATCCAAGTTACCAAAAATATTTTCTAAATCTTGTGAACTAGAACTGGAGTTTTTGAGGAAGACAGATTTTTAAAAAAATATATATAGTTTTTATTTTTTTTGTTTTATTATTTGTGGCTTCCATTTTTTGTTTTACTAAGTATTGTTGTATAGATACTTGACAGAAAAGAAATATTAATTAATAATGCATTCTGCTGTCATTTATTTTTAAAAAATCAATAAAAATACAAAAAAAGAAATATTAATTAAGTTTATCAGTGCAACTAAATGGGCCAATAGGTCGTTCCGCCCTTTCTTGAAAGCAGGTCAGGGGGATTTTCCACTCAAGGGATTTAAAGTGCTGACAGGTCTCAGAGGACTGGATTGGAAGGTCTAGGCTAGATCTTTGTTGTGAGATGGTGTTGGATTTAGAGCCTTTGGGTAGAGGAGGGGCAAGCCAGGGTGGCCCAGCTAGCATGGTGGACTCCGCATCTTTCCTTGTGGTCCATAGCTGGGGTGTCTGTATTTTGCACTTTCTCCTTTTTGCTTCAGACTCAGAGAACTGTATTTTAGAGATCTGCTAAGCTCACAAATGGAAGTGTGTCAGGAGGAAATAAGTCAAAGTAAAACATGTACAAATGTATTAAATATAGCATTATTTATAGCAATGAAAAATTATCCAGCAATAGAAAATGGCTTAGTTATTTTTCATAAATTTTTTTTTTTTAGTTATAGATGGACACAATGCCTTTATTTTATCTTTTTATTTTTATGTGGTGCTGAGGATCAAACCCAGTGCCTCACACATGCTAGGCAAGTGCTGGGCCACTGAGTTACAACTCCAGCCCCATGGCTTAGTTACCCAACATTAGTTTGAGAGAACATTATATTCTGTGAAAAATAAACTTACATGAAACATTATTAGAAATGAGAAAATATGAAATATGTCTACTGTTTACAGCAGTGTGAGAATATGTGTACATGTAGACAAAGGAAAAAATGATTTAAAATAACTATGTTTTTTAAAAAAGTGAACCCTAACAGCATGTTTCTAAAATTTGCATGGTTTAATTCCTGATACAAAAAAAAAAAAAGAGTTGTAGCCTAGGTCGGTGCAGTGGTGCACACCTGCAATCCCAGCTGCTTGAGTCACTGAGGCAAGTGGATCACAAGTTTGAAGCCAGCGTGGGCAACTTAGTGAGACCCTGTCTCAAAATAAAAATGTCTAGGAGGTAGCTCAGTGGCAGAGTGCCTAATACTGCAAACTAAAAAATTTTTAAAAAGCTTACAATCTGGAAGATTTTGCCCCATATATAGCTAACAAATTAATATTCAGGATAAAGAACTATCAATAAGAAAAGGAGAAACCAGTATAAAATACATAAAATGTAAGACAGTAACTTCACGAAAAGGGAAATGTCTTTAAAAAATATGGAATGTTGCTCATTGATAACCAGAAAATTGTCAGTTAAAACCACAATGAAATATGTTGCAGACTTCAGATTTAAATAAAAAAAAAAAAAAAAAAAAGATGATTGTGGAAGCCCAGAACTGTTGAATGCTTCAGGCAGGAGTGTGCATTACATCATGCCCTTTGGAAAGGGACTTGGTGTCACCTCCTCGTTACCCTCTGGAGAAACTTGAGCATGTACATCAGGATACAGGTGCAGGAGCTTTCATAGTAGCCTGGTTTATACAGCAGAAGCTGAAGCCACATGCCTTGAAGGGATGCACATATAATTCAGAATAGTAGTTATTTTTGAGATTTGGGAGAAATGGAGCTCCTGAGTTGTTATTCTATTTCTTAAGCTGATTGATTGGTTCATGGCTGCTTGATTTGTTATTATATTTAAATTATCATATACTTTCCCTAACTCCTGGTTTATTACATGCTGGTTATGTGCTCTACCGTTGAATGACATCCCTAGCTTGAATTTGAAGATCATATACCTTCTAAATACCCTTGTATGTGGGATTTCAAAATAGAAACTTAAGATAATCCAACAGAATCTAAATTGAGTTTTTCTTTCTTCCATCCTTATTTTTTCTTTATTCCAATTAATTAAACAAATTCCTTCTTTTATTTTGTTTTGACCCAACTTGGAAGTTAAGGCAGTTGCTTTGTTTTGCTTTAGATAGTCAAAAAGGTCAGTGTACTTTTTTTAGGTAGAAAAGAATTGACTTCAGGAGATAAAACATGCAGCTGAATCACCATTGATGGGAACGTGCAAGCACAAAGCATGCGTACGCTTTGGAAATACCCAACAGAGAGAGCCCAGGCCCCGAGCAGCAGAGCTGCATGGAGATGGGTATTGCTGAGTCCGAGTGCAGAGAAATTGTTCGTGATTTACTACTGTTCCTCCTGCTGCCAAGAGCAGTAGTGGTGGGGCAATGCCATTTATTCAGAGCTCTCTTGTGAGTAGGAACCCTTACCAACCCCGTTCTACTGAGAGAATCAGGTGAGTTTAGAATGAGGGTGACATTAAGGGAAGCAAGGATAGTTTCAGATACCTGAGACTTGTCAGAGGTAGAGATTGCTCTGTGTCGCACACCAGCAACTGTCATGAGAGATGGGACAAGGCGATTCTGCTCAGCGGCAGGACTGCCTGATCAGTAGGTCTGTCCAGGTCTTTTGGTGGTTATTGCAGTATCATGGTGCCCACAACATAGGCTCCCAGCAAGAATTGCTGAGTGATGAATGGAGCAGGCCCCATTAGGATGTGCCCAAGCCTACCCTCAGTTAGATGGGATTTTCTTGTGGGCAGGACTCTTCTGTTTTACTGCTGTGTTCCTTGTCTGGTGTGTGCTTGGTGCATAGTGTCACAGCTGTAGTGAATGAATTTTTTTGGAGAAACATACTTTGGAAGGAGCAAAGAATAGCGAGGTGGTGTTTTTTCTGATGAAGCCCTAAGGAGAGATTGCTTTCATTTATAATTTTTAATCATTTTTCTATCATGCCACAAGTTTTGAGTATTAACAAAAAACCATTTTGACTTTTAAAAAGTAGGTTTTTGGTTTTCCTTATTATGCCTCTGAGAGTGACCTTCTTGCCCATTTGCAGTAGAATAACCTGGTATCAGAGGGCTAGTGTGGAACTGGTTATTCTCCACAAATCATTTTTCATGAGTGCCTCCAGGAAGCACTTAATGTACTTTATGTTCAATTACTATGTGATATAAACCCAGAAGGCTTCCAGTGCCTCTTGGTTTGTGGTAGGCTCTCTGCCGAGGGGCCTCCCATAACTCAGCTGTGAGTTGTGCCTGGGAGAGATGCAGGTGCTTTCAGCAGGACTTGGGAACTAATGCAGTCATTTTCCCACAGACCAGAGTGAACTCGGAGCAGGAGCACTTCCTCATTGTACCTTTTGGACTTCTTTACAGTGAAGTGACTGCATCCAGCCTGGTAAGAATGTCCTCCTTTGCACCAAGTTTGAACAATCACGCCGAATCTTCAAGTGCTTTCAAATCCGTTGGCATACACAGTACTCAAGGAGTGGGAGAATCCAGTCGACATATAGAACTGATTAATTCAGTTAGAGAACAAGCTTTGAGAGAAGTTAGAGGCTCTTTGAACTTGGGTTTTAAACAGTTTACAGTTGCCAGGCGTGGTGGTGCACACCTGTAATCCTGGCAACTTGGGAAGTTGAGGCAGGAGGATCATGAGTTCAAAGCTAGCCTCAGTAGCACAGCGAGGCCCTAACCAGCTTAGCAGGACCTTGTCTTAAATAAGAAAAAAAGGGCTGGGGATGTGGCTTAGTGCTCACATGTCCCTGGATTCAATCCATGATACAAAAAAAAAAAAAAAAAAAAAAAAATTCAAGTTCTCTTGACATTTAAAATTTTTGTTTCTTTTATTTCAGGTTAAGATAAATCTACAAGGAGATATCGTGGATCGTGGAAGTACTAACCTAGGAGTGAACCAAGCTGGCTTCACATTGCATTCTGCAATCTATGCTGCACGGCCAGATGTTAAGTGTGTTGTGCACATTCACACCCCAGCAGGAGCTGCGGTGAGTGCTGCCTGGGGCATTGAGGTCCTCGCTGGAGGTGCTGCACATACCTGAGTTGCACTTGCTTGTTTCATAATAGGGATCGAGTCCAGGGCCTTGCACTTTCTAGGCAAGCACTCTACCACTGAGCTATACTCTAAGCCACTAGTTTGACTTTCTTAAGAGCAAAAGAAAAGATTTTGTCCTTCTGCAAGGATTAAGGAGAAAACTATGTAGAAAGTGGCTCTTGGAAATGGCCTCAAAGAATAGGCCAGATATGACTGGCCAGGTCAAAAGAAGAAGCACCCACAGACAGCCACAGTGCAGCTGTGGATAGCCATGGGAGGCAGGGACCTAAATAGTCACTTGCTGGATCCAGATTAGAATACTGTCCTAGGGGTGCTGCGGTTGTGGCTCAGTGGCAGAGCGCTTTACCTCTTTGGGGATGTATGTACAATTTAATTTTGAAGAACCTCTAATAAATCTGAAAATGTTCTTTTGACTGTATGATTAGAGAATCACAGAGGGTTGAGATGCTAGGGTCAGATTTCAGTGTGTTGAGATCTGTGGGGTAGAGGCTGATGTGGGCTCAGGGAGAGGCTGTGGACACTGGGACTGAGCCTGCAGATGAGAGGGAGTAAGCTCGGAACCAGCCTGCCAAGCTGCCCCACAGACCTTCTGTCCAGAGCCAGAGGACCCAGCCTGGGTTGCTGGGCAGAGGCACAGGTAGTGCAGCTGCCAGGAGATCTGGCCTCCAAGCCTAGAGCTTCCTGGGACCTTCCTGGGGCCTCAAAAAAGGAAAAAAGAGAAGGTTTTGGAATAACTTCCTTGGTAAGGCAGTTCCTATGAAGTTGGATCCACTGAAAGGAATTCTGTGTGGTTTTGTCCTTTAGATGAGCTTTTCCTCTGTGCTGTACGTGTCCGAATCTTTGGACCTTGTCAGTCTAGTCAGAGCTGCTGTCTGTAGAAGACCTTCAGAATTAGACATTTTAAGGCCAATTTTGGGGAATTTGAGGATGTGTAAGGGCTATGTGAACACTCAAATTTTTTTTTTCTTTCAGTCTTAATTTTACATAAATGTAGAGAAATTGTACAGTCTCATTGTCCTAAACTCTTGGTATATTTGGTTTTATCTAAATTTCAGGTGTTTTGTTTCTACTTGCAACTTGACATAAAACTATGCCATATGCGGTGGCTAAGGAGGCTGAGGCAGGAAGATCGCAGGTTCAAAGCCAGCCTCAGCAACTTAGCAAGGCCCTAAGTAACTCAGCGAGACTCTATCTCTGAATAAAATATAAAAAGGTTGGGGATATGGCTCAGTGGCTAAGTGCCCCTTGGAACATCTATTTTTGAGGAACCCATGAGGCTTTCTTTGTGCTGGACCATGGCTCACTGAGTCCATACGTCTCAGCTTATATAGCACTATAACCAGTGGAAACTCCAGAGATGTAGGTCTTGTCGAGTGAGCCCAAAAGTGCTGTTTATGCATATGTTCATGTGTTCATTCACCCCAAGGAAACGTGTGCTTTCTATATCTGTGAGGCGAGTGCTTGCAAGCCAGTTGCAGATTGATGCTGACTTTTCCTTCCCTGGTGACGACTGACTGCTTGTTCTCCAGGTCTCTGCCATGAAGTGCGGCCTCTTGCCCATCTCCCCAGAAGCACTTTCCCTTGGAGAAGTGGCTTATCATGACTATCATGGCATTCTGGTTGATGAAGAGGAAAAGGTTTTGATTCAGAAAAATCTGGGGCCCAGAAGTAAGGTCAGTGGGCCTGGCACCTGGTCTTTCCTGGAGGGAAGAAGAAGCGCTCTGAGGCATGCCCGTCTCGTTGCCTGGCTCCATCCCACTCCATGCTTCCCCTCAGGTTCTCATTCTCCGGAATCACGGGCTCGTGTCAGTGGGAGAGAGCGTGGAGGAGGCTTTCTATTACATCCATAACCTCGTGGTTGCGTGTGAAATCCAGGTGAGGGTGGTTGTCCCGCGGGGTGTGAAGTTCACTTGGTGTTTTCAGGGGTCCTGAGCCTTTGAGCAGTCTTTGCCAAAGATGAGCTCATGAATTTGGAACAATTCATGAGTTCCAACAATTTGGAACAAATGCATTTTACTGATTTAAGTTAGCAAAAGATTACTGGACTTTTCATTCCTAATTTTTTATTTTTCAAATACATAAGTTGTCAGCATTTATGGAGCACTGGTATGTGCCAGGCCTCATGTTGGGCACTTTTTTTTTTAATATTTATTTAATTGTAGATGAATATACAGTATCTTTATTTATTTTGATGTGGTGCTGAGGTTCGAACCCAGTGCCTCACACATGCGAGGCAAGTACTTTACCACTGAGCCCCAGCCCCAGCCCCATGTTGGGCACTTTTTTTTAAAAATATATTTATTTATTTTTAGTTTTCGGCGGACAAACATCTTTGTTTGTATGTGGTGCTGAGGATCGAACCCGGGCCGCATGCATGCCAGGCGAGCACGCTACCGCTTGAGCCACATCCCCAGCCCCCATGTTGGGCACTTTGTGCGGGTCGTGTGTGTGTTATTTCCCTCTGCCTTTACACGCCCCTTTTGAAAAGGCTGGAGCTGAGAGGTGGGTTCATCCAGACTCGTGGCCGGGACACTGCCCGAGCTCTGCTCCAGGCCAGGCTCTCACTCTCCCTGACTTAGGTTTGGGGCCAGTGAGGCTCCAAGTCTTGAGGGTCCTGAACGGTGCTTTGTTTTCCTATTTATCTGCCAAGTGTAAATGCCCAATGTCTTTGTCGTGCTGGAGAAGAACTCTGAAAGTCGTGTTAGAGTCACTGGATCAGTGCCCACTGTGCTTTTTTTTTTTTTTTTAATTCTTACCACTGATGGCTCACTTTGTTGAAACCTGCATAGCTGTACAAGTACGTGTCATAGTCGTCTCTTTTCTGAGTCTCTCTATGGTACGCAAGCCATGGTGTTTGCTTGTTTTGGAAAAGGTTCGGACGCTGGCCAGTGCAGGAGGGCCAGACAATTTAGTACTGCTGGATCCCGGGAAGTACAAGGCCAAATCCCGTGCTCCAGGGTCTCCGGCGGGGGAAGGCACTGCATCACCTCCCAAGTGGCAGATTGGAGAGCAGGAATTTGAAGCCCTCATGCGGATGCTTGATAATCTGGTAAGAATGGTGCCGCCACTCGATTAGAAAATTTCTTTCCTGAAAGCGCATTGATTTTTTTTTTTTTTTTTTTAATGACAAACAAGATGGCTACTTTACATGTATCTGAATGTCACCCTCAAAAATCATGAAGCCGGGGCTGGGGTTGTGGCTCAGTGTAGAGTGCTTGCCTAGCGTGCTCGGGGCCCTGGGTTCAATCCTCAGCACCACATAAATGTAAAATAAAGATATTGTGACAACCTAGAACTTGAGAGTTAAAAAAAAAAAATCATGAAGCCGCCAGGCTTTTTAATGTGTAGGCTGAATTACAGTAAGCCTCAGTGGTGGTTTGTTTTCCCAGCTAATGTTGTGTTGGGGCAGGTGGGGCAGGAGCGCAGGCTCCTGCTGGCCAGCGTCCACAGGCAGGCTGGAGGGCCTTGCCACATTGTCAGCCTGGTGTCTGTGTAGTTGTAGCTGCTTGGGGCCTGGTTGCTGGATTCCACAGCTCTCTGCCTGTCGTATTGGTGGGAGACCCTATGCTACTTATGTCAGGGACACAGAATGGTACCAACAGGGCACAGAAGCAGGATGGCTTGCAGCATTGATGGCGAGGGCCAGACCACAGACCACACTGGCTTCATGCAGGCCAGGTCTATGCTGGGGCGGCTGAGGACGGATCTTGTCCTTCTGCAAGGATCAAGGAAGAAACTGTACGTAGAAGGTGGCTCTTGGAAATGGCCTCAAAGAATAGGCCGGAACATGACTGGCCAGGTCAAAAGAAGAAGCACCCACAGACAGCCACAGTGCAGCTGGGGACAGCCATGGGAGGCAGGGACCTAAATAGTCATTGCTGGATCCAGATTAGAATACTGTCCTGCGGGGCAGGGTCATGGCTCAGTGGCAGCGCTTGCCTAGCACGTGTGAGACACTGGGTTCCATCCTCAGTACCACATACAAATAAATAAACGTGTCTATCTACAACTAAACAATAAAAAAACACTGTCCTAGGGTTTTTTTGGTGACTTAATGGCTAGAGATAATTTTTATTGTTGTTGTTTTGGGGTTTTTCTCTGAGACCTAAGTACTGAACCCAGGACCTTGTGCAGGCAGGCAGGTGCTGTACTCCTGAGCCACATCCCAGCATTGTCCTCGAGTTTCCAGCCCTCCAAACACACCACGGGGCTTTAGTGCTGCCACAGGGCCCCTCTCATGCCACATTGTACCTCTCAGGTGGGCTTTGGGAAGGCCCATCCTAGTGCCCCATGATGGCCAGTGTGCTGCATGTGAGGCGTCGTCCCCTCCGTGGGGACTCCTCGCCATCAGCTGCATTCCATCAGGGAGGAGAGATGACAGAACAGTCTTCCGTGACCTCTGCATCCTGCATTCACTGACCCCCTTCGCATGGAATCTTGAGAAGATTGCAGTGTTTGGCTCAGGAGTTCATGGCCCTGTGATGGAAGTGGCAAACAGATTTCAGGTCACTGTGTGATCTAGGGGTGACAGGCACAGTGGGAGGGACAGAGACAGTGGCAGGGCAGGAGCCTCAGGCCCATATTGGTTAAGGAACGCAGGAAAAGGAGCAAAAGCTAACAAATCAGGTACAAGAAGCTGTCGGAATGAGGGGGCAGCTGGAGTTGGTGTCCCTTCAGGAAAGTTGCAGCCAGAGAAGAAGTGGCCTGAGTGTCCTGAGGTAAGGAGTGCGGAGCTGGCCCAGGCATAGGGTTCCTTCCTCCTGGTCCACCATCCCACCCCGCTCCTAGCCAAGAGTCACATGAGGAAGGGGGAGAGGAGATAAGGCTCTGCATACCTACTCATCTCGTGCTTTCAGGACATTTTGGAAGGTGGAGAGTGAAATCTAAATTAGGCACTAACTCTGATTTAATAGAAGAGGAAGGCTAATAGTGAAGTGTGTCTTACAGAAAGTGTATTTTATTTGGTTTCTTCAATAAGTGCACGTTATTAGCAGTTTTAATATTAAAGTTCTGTGTAGCTTATAAGAAATAAACTGGAAGCCACGAATGATGCTGCACACCTATAATCCCAGCAATTTGGGAGGCTGAAGCAGGAGGATTATAAGTTGGAGGCTAGCCTTAGCAATTTAATGAGGCCCTATACCACTTAGTGAGACTCTGTATCAAAATAAACATGGATGGGACTGGGTGCAGTGGTGCAGCCTGGAATCCCAGCAACTTTGGAGGCTGAGATATGAGGATCCTTAGTTCAAAGCCAGCCTTAGCAACTTAGTGAGGCACTAAGCAACTCAGTGAGACCCTGTCTTTAAATAAAATACAAAATAGGGGTTGGGATGTGGCTCAGTAGTCATGTGCCCCTGAGTTCAATCCTCAGGACCAAGAACGTAAATAAATAAATAAATAAAAAGGGATGGGAATTCAGTGCACCTGGCTTACTCTCAGTACCAAAGGAAGGAAGAAAAGAACAAACGAACATCAGGCTGGGGCTGGGGTTGTGGCTCAGTGGTAGAGCACTTGCCTAGCACGTGTGAGGCACTGGGTTCCATCCTCAGCACCACCGAAAGGTAAATACATAAAATGAAGGTATTTTGAAAAAGAAAGAAATGAACTGGACGAGATTTGCCGACTGTGGTCTGTGTTTACAGCATCTGATTTGCTGCTGTGCTGACTGCTAATGATGGAGCAGGTAGAGAGCAGGTGAGAATCCCATGCCATAGTAGACGTCTCATCTCAAACGTCTACAGTTAGGAGAAATGCGCACTTGTTTCCACAGCAAAATAGAACTTCAGCTCCTCCAAAAAGGAACAAATCTATATATCTTGTGTCTATCTGCTTACCTATGTGTGTGTGTGTGTGTGTGTGTGTGTGTACACGCACACGTGCGTGCGCGTGCATGCTCTGGGGTTGAACCCACAGGACCTGGGCACTAAGCACAAGCTCTACTGCTGAGCTACATCCCCAGCACCCCCATATTTTTAATCATGAGCCAAATAATTGTTCACAGGATCAATTCTGGTTTGACAGCATTAGAAGGGAAAATGAAGAAAAACCAGTGCCCTGTCAGAATAAAATGGTGTTTCTGGGTCCTGAGACTGTACCCTGAAGCCAGGGAGATGCCCCACGTGCAGGCAGAGGCGGTGTCGACAGAGCTGTGTGTCCAGGCAGTGCTCTGTGGCCGAGTCATCCCTCAGTACCCCTCAGCAGAGCTTGCTCATGGAGGCAAAGTGCCTGTGCAGGTAGATCTTGCCTGTCTGAGGAACACAATGAAGATGACTCCCTTAATGAAGATGGCCATTTAAAAAATTTTTTTTAGTTATAAATTGATACAGTATCTTTTTATGTATTTATCTTTATGTGGTGCTGAGGATGAAACCCAGTGACTCAACCTGTGTGAGGCAAGCGCTCCACCACTGAGCCCCATCCCAGCCCCAGCCTGAAGATGGCTGATTTTAAAAGTGTATCAAAGCAGTGATGGGTAATAGATATCCAAGGAGGAGCAGAGCCAGAGAGAGAGACGATTTCTGACGTGGGAGGAATCATCCCTACTTCGTACTGTTCTTTGTTATCTGAGACGTGGACTCACTGTGTGGCCCTGGCTGGCCCTGAGCTCCTGGGCTTAAGCCACCCTCCTGCCTCAGCCTCCTGAGTAGCTGTGACCATAGTCGTGCACCACCACACCTGGCTAGAGGGTCCGCCCCTGAGGGCTCCTGTGTGTCTTCAGTCGCCCTGTGTCCTTTGGCGAGCATTGTGACGTGCAGTGAGTGCACACCTGTCCAGGCACCGCCAGCCCTGTGCTGTGTGACGGCACAGCGCTGGTGTTTCATAGCCTCCTGGGGGGCGGTGCAGGGCTCCAGGCGCAACTCAGCTCGGTCTCTGCCTCACAAGGCTGCAGTCAGGCTGTTGGCCAGGGCTGGCTTCTCATCATAAGGCTCCATGGGTTCGGGGAGGGGTGCCCCCCTTCTGAGACTCCGTTTTCCTACAGCGGCGGTATTCATGATGGCTTGCATCTCCAGAGCTAGCAGGGTGGGACTGTACGCTCTTTGTTGCCTGTTGCAAATGCCAGAGGCTAGAAGCATGGCAGTTGTTGCGCCTGGGCTTGAAGGGCAGGGGCAGTCACAGGTGGAGCTGAGGGTCATCAAAAAGTCTGTCACATCTACTAAGTGCTAAGCCCTGGTGAGGAGAGATGAGGAAGACCCCCCCCCCTTGTCTGCAGCTGCTGCCTGGGGGGACAGCTGGCAGGTGCTCCAGCAGAGGGGCACGAGGTGCCACGCACCTGTGCAGGCACAGCTGGGGGTCGCGAGGCAGCATGGAAGGAGGAGTGTAAGTGCCATATGCAAATTTTGCTGAGAACCAGTTGCCATGAGTGGTGTGTGGTCTTACCTGATGGTTACCACAGTGTTGAGACTGTGTGGATGAGTCTGCTCTGTGCAGTCGTCAGCAGCAGGTGAGTCCTGTCAGCTTGAAAACTGAAGTCGCCACGAAAGCAATAGCCAGATCAAAAGCAATGCCGGTACTGCACAAACCCTCGGGCCCCTTTTCAGTCACTTGCCATCTCAGGTGGCCACTGTTTTGTCTCTACAACAGAGATTGCTTTTGCCTGTTTTGTGCTTTTTACAAGTGGACCCAGACAGCGTGTGTCCTTTTCCACTGTGTTTCCCTGGGCAGTCGGTTTGTGAGCGTGGTCCACATGGGTGCCATTGCTAGTAGAGCCTTCTCTTTCCTCACCACGGTCCACCGTGTGAGCATGACAGGTTCTTGTTCTACTTTGTGTGGCTTTCTGGGTGGTTGTGGTTTGCTCGGGCACGGTGGTCCTGCTGTCAGCGTTGCGGCCTGTCTTTGGCGAGCCTGTGCCTTCTCGGCCACGTGCTTAGGATTCGCGTTGCAGAGCTGCGTGTTCTGCCTGTGGACGTCTCCACAGTGAACCCTGCTCTGAGATCTGGAGCACTGACTGTCTTTTCTTCTCTTTGGATCTAGGGCTACAGGACTGGCTATCCCTATCGATACCCTGCTCTAAGAGAGAAATCTAAAAAATACAGCGATGTGGAGGTTCCTGCTAGTGTCACTGGTTACTCTTTTGCTAGTGACGGTGATTCGGGCACTAGCTCCCCTCTCAGACACAGTTTTCAGAAGCAGCAGCGAGAGAAGACAAGATGGCTGAACTCTGGCCGGGGTGACGAAGCTTCTGAGGAAGGGCAGAATGGAAGCAGTCCCAAGTCGAAGACTAAGGTGTGGACGAACATTACACACGATCACGTGAAACCCTTGCTGCAGTCTCTCTCGTCCGGTGTCTGCGTGCCAAGCTGTATTACCAACTGCTTGGTCTGTGCCTACCTTACTGTTCATAGTTAGATGATGTAGAGCAAGTTGGGCAGCTGGGGCTTCGGAGGCTTTGGGACCCTGCCCTCTGACCCACATTGACTCATGACCCTTCCTCGTTAACTTGCCTTTCTTTTGAGCCAAAGCCCACTTTATGCCTCAGCTCAAACTCGAGTAATACTCTGCTTGAAACTGCTTAAGATACAACGCACCTCTTTAGTCATTGCCCGAGGCCGACTCCACTCACAGTGGAGCACTGAAGGACTCACCTGTGCTAACGTGAAAGCAGGAGCTCTCTTGAACTCCAGCTGTGTCGGCTCTTAACTCCTCACGCAGCTCTGAGAGGCCTGACCCGCGCGCCAGTGCTGCCCACGCCTTGCTTCCCTCCTTGTCACAGTGTTTTCTTAAGCAGTTTTCCCCGCGGCCCGCTGGCCCGTTCTCTGCTGACTCTTGTCCTCTCTCAGCACTGTTCCCTGCCCTCTGTCCCAAAGCCTCGGAAGGCTCACGCCAGCTGCCCTCTGCATGGACTGTTGCATGTGAGTAGGCGGCCATGGTGGTGAGTCTTGGACTCCTGTGGGGTGCGGCATGACCAAGTGCAGCGCAGGCCACCTGCAGGCACCAGCGACAGATGCTGCCAGGGGCTCATTTCAGTGTTAGCACTGTGCAGGGCTCCTGTCCCCTCAGAGGAGTCCCTGGTGTCCTGCTGCCAAGGGTGCTTTCCCCTCCCGTAGGCCAGCCCTTGAGTCTGTCCAGCTCACACCTCAGTGCAGCAGAGGCCCTTTCCAGAGCCCTGGATGGAGTCCCCCGTGGGGCAGCACAGTGGGGCCAGACCTGGCTACATGCTGAGCTCAGTAGAGTCGGCAGCCCAGGTGTCCCAAGAAGCAGGAAGCCGACAGCCACATTTCCCCTTTCAACAGTGCTTTTACTTGATAAGTTTATTTAAAAAAAAAAAAAAAAAAAAAGGTTTTGTCTTCCCCAGGTGGTCTTGGTGTTTTCCTGCTATGCAGTTGGCGCGGAGCCACTGTGGTCCCGAGCAGCTGTGTCACGTGGGCGAAGACCCTGCGTGGTGGCAGGCTCAGAGTGTGGGAGCACGTCTCTTCCTCTCCTGCCCTCCCTCCCTTCCTTTCTTTCTTTGGTTCACTGGTTAGAATGGTTAAGCTTAAAAACAGAACCCCTCTCTGCTGCCGCTGGGGTGCTCTGCCGGCTGCCTGCCAGGTCTTTCCAGAGCGCACCCACAGCAGGCAGCATGGCTGTGAGCTCTGTGATGGTCGCCTGGAGGCAGTCCAGTCAGGCTGGTGTAGCTCGCAGCGGAGCACCTGCCTGGCAAGTGCAGGCCCTGGGTCAATCTCCCGTATTTAAAAAAAAAAATGGAAAAAAGTCACTTGAGGCATTTTAGTCAATGAGTGCATCGAAGGGGATCTTGCTCAGCTGTATTTATATGTGTTTCCTATTTCCTGGATTAATACAAATTCCACGCAATGTTCCCAGGTTGGTATATTTTAATTTATAATAATTCATATTAATTTTTTAAATGGGTTCAAGCTTCTGAGGTGGCTGTTTTAACATTTTGACTAGAAATATTTATAATAAGACGCTGAGTTGTCTTTTCTCTGAGAAGGTAACCGTCAGCGAGTGCCCGCAGCTCCATGCCCATTCCACACTCCTTCGCAGTGGCTAAGCCTTTGACAGTTTGGTTGCTTCCTTAAGGTCATATGGTTTATGGCTATCTTATTGCCTCTCAGAAATATTCCGAAAGGCACAGCCGTTTGCTTTCAAAGATGGCTTGTGTTAGTGTTCAGTGCCTACTCACGCCTCAGAGTCAGAATCTGACCCAAAGCCCATCTCGATTGGAGGCCTGAGCAGCGATGAGCAGGAGGCACTGAGGCTAAGCAGCCTTTGAGGGCTCACCAGGCGCTTTATTTTGTTGGAACGGTTTTGCAACACTCAGAGGTTTCTTTTGTAAAACATGATGTCACCCCCTCACCTCGTGCTTGGGAGCTGCTGCAGCGTCCCCTGGTGGACAGTGCCGCTGTGTGTCTGGTGCTGCCACTCACTTCCACGCACAACTCTGGTGGTGCCCACTCTGCCTGCAGTGCGGACTCTTGCCCTTCCTGGGTGGCTGCGTCACATTGCTTCTCATGATCCTGTCATCTCACGCTTCCAGTTGGCTTTGGTGTTGGGGGACTCTCAGGGCGGTGGACCAATGGCCTCTGAGGGGCCTGATCCAGCTGGTCATTAGCCTGATTGCCCCGGCTCTTGTGGGCTTTCCCACTGGCCACGCCTCTGACTCCACCATTCAGTGGTTTCTGCGTGGCCACGTCTCACCCCCATGTCAGCTCTGTAGAGTGGCCCAGGGTACGTGGCCATTGGTTCAGCCGTCTGTGAGGTTCAGTGCATGAGCAGATGTGAGGTCAGTTGGACAGACGGATGCTGTGGCGTTGTGACTACTGTCATGACCCTGACTTCTCGACTGTTCTTGATATTGCAGTGGACTAAAGAGGATGGACCTAGAACTTCCACCTCTGCTGTCCCTAACCTGTTTGTCCCATTGAACACTAACCCAAAAGAGGTCCAGGAGATGAGGAACAAGGTATGTGCTGTCCTGGGCACTTGGAGGGAGCTGGGTGCAGGGTTGGAAGGGATACTGGCTGCTGTGGAGCAGAGGGGTGCTTGCTTCCAGAGGGATGCTTGCTTCCAGAGCAGAGGGGTGCTGCGCTCCCACTGGGGAAGTGAAGTCACCTCCTCATGCTGAGGCTGTGTTCCGCCATCAGTGTGGAGCAGGGGCAGCAGACATCTGGGGCCTGAGGAATGTCGGGGTGATGCTTGCTCAGTAGCAGGTCTGGAGTAGAAGCCCCAGAGCCTGATCCAGCAAGAGTGGGTGGCTGTTCTGCCTTTCAGACTCATTCAGAGGCTCATAAACTGCACTGGTCATAATGTGGGTTGTCAGATTGTCAGTGTTCACAACCCCCACGTATTCCCCCAGGTCACTGGGTACAGTGAAGGGCTGGGGCTCTGCCGGAGCCTTCTGGAATGTGTGGGAATTGGGACTAGTCCCTCCATTTCTGCTGACCTACGCCCTGCTAAGCAGGGTGGGCCAGTGCCATTAGGCAGGTGTTCCTGGGGCGTCATGCCATCTGGGCTGGGTGGAGCACAAGATCACCTTGGGTGTAGTGGTCCAGGTGCACAAGCAACATGACTGGCGGCCACAGCATGACCTCTTTGTGCTGCTTATGTGCTTTTCTTTTCCTTCCCATCCTTAGATCCGAGAGCAGAACTTGCAGGACATTAAGACTGCTGGCCCTCAGTCCCAGGTTTTGTGTGGTGTGGTGATGGACAGAAGCCTCGTCCAGGTGAGAGCTCAGAATGTCTCTCGTATTAATGGGTGGTGACTCTGTGTCCGTCTGCTCCAGAGTTGTTATTAACTTGGGAGAGAATGACTTTATGAGGTGAGTATCCTAGGCAACCAGTTATCTCTGCTATGAATCCTCTTGATAAGAAGTAGACCAGCCACTTCCCTTGAGTTCTAGACCTAGCATCAGCATGCAGAGGGATGTGCCCATCCCTGCAGACCCCTCCTTGTAGTGCATGCCTGTGTGAGGGCGCGTATGGCCAGCTCCGGGGTTAGCAGGGTGCTGTGTAAGTGCTAGAAAAAGGAGGGTTCGATGGGCCTTTGTTCTGGAACAAGTCATGTCTGCAACACAGCACTGCTTGGGCTGCGGAGGGAGGGCCTGGTAAATGTGGTCCACATTTACATGCATTTCTGTAAGATAACTGTACTTAGTGGCACATTGAAGATAATTGTGTAAGTAGTTATCTTAGAATATGAAGATGCCACCTGATGCTTTCAAACCTGACTCTTCAGGGGTAGATGGTGATTGTTGCATTTTCTGAATCTGGCCAGCTGTGGTCCTCGTTTCATGTTTGGTGTCTGCACGTACCACTATCACCACTGCTGCGTTCACTGTTGACCGCTGTCCCTGCTGCATGCTCTTAGCTGGCTTCCCCCTCCCCGGGTGGTTGTAAGCTAGGCCTGGTGTGCTCTGATGACTCAGTTTACTGTTGCAGGACGCACCCCTTTCTGACTGTACGGAGACTATCGAAGGGCTCGAGCTTACAGAGCAGACCTTTAGTCCCGCTAAATCTCTCTATTTTAGAAAGGTACTCAACGCCCTGGCAGTCCGCGGTGCTCTTCTCCCTTTCCTGCCCCCACCACCTCCCGCTTGAGACCTTGTCTTTGTTTCTGATGTAGCTTGAAAGAGACCTCTAAATCATGTATGAGATTTCAGCAGACTCTGTTTTGCCTACTCTGTTCCTTAATTAAAACGGGTGTGAAGCATTGTACAGTATTGAGATATTGCTGGGAAGTGGCCAGTCTGAAGGAGACAGTGGCTGCATTGCTCAAGTTCTGCACATGACTCGTCAGTGCATGCCTTTGGGCTCCAGAGTTTACCTTTCACAAGATGCCCATTGCAGATGGTCTCGTCAGGGCTCTGCTGGCGGCCACAGCTCCCCCACAGCCCCTCCCCTTGCTTGTTCATCTTTGACCGTAGCCATCAGGGGTCATTGCAGAGGAATGGATTTTTTTTTTTTTTTTTGAGAATAGAACCCAAGGCTGTTGAATTATATCACTGCCCCAAAGAAGTGGGAAATAAAAGCAAGACAGTCATTGTCAACCTTCATTGATAAAAATGCATTTATTTTTACTTTAAAAAAAACTTGAGTACCTGGGGTTGTGGCTCAGTGGTGGAGCGCTTGCCTAGCATGTGTGAGGCCTTGGGTTTGATCCCCAGCACCACATATGAAGGAGCAAATAAAGTAAAAAAAAATTCATTGGCAACCAAAAAATATTTAAAAGAAAAAAAAAAAAACTTGTTACTGTTGCAGGGGAGAAAGACATGAAAATCTGAAGCCCCACATTTTGATCTCTGTGTGCGTGGGTATCTATCTAGCCTGTGCTGGAGGTAGACAATCCTAGGTAGTAAGGGTCCTGGAGAACTTGGTGCCCATGAGGTGGTTGCCCACTGTGTGTAGAGTCTTCAGTGTTTGGCCTTCATTCGGAGGACGTAGCTTGGGCTCTGTCTTCCGCTGTTAACATTTTCAGTGTGATGCCAGTCTCACTAACTCGCATTCCAGTTCAGCTAGAAGCAGCTTTGTGCCAAGGTGCCATCTTCCTCCTGGAACCCCTGGTCATGACGTGTGGCTTCATGTACTAATGCAGTGGGTTCTGCTTTCCTCGTGGTTAGAAGTTACTCCAGCTACCGTTTTTGGGGGGAGAAGGATGGGTTCCCTGGCAGCTTGTGTTTCCAGCCAGCACATTGGGCCACGAGCCGTGGTGTTCTTGTGGGTTAGCACGTTGTGGATGTGCCAGGCGCCTGGGTGGAGTGCGCCCTGCACGTAAAGCAGGCCACAGCCAGTCACTGAGGTACTGTCCCCTTGGCACTGTGGTGCCTTTAAAGGATTTCATCTGTGGTGTGTTCAGCTCCCCAAAAGGCAGGCTGGCACGTGTCCCAGGACGTGCTTCTGCCTGGTGTGTCGTCTAGTTACAGCTGTGCTCTGCCCCAGTGGTGCTCAAACATGGCACGTCACAGTCACCTGGGTGCTTCACAGATAGATGGAGGGTCCCCAGTCTCAACAGAGCCGCCTCGCTGGCTGGCCCCAGTTGAATAGATGTGGACTCCCGTCCTTTATTGCCCCAGTGGTGGGGATGGAACCCAGGGCCTCGTGCCTGCTCGGCTGCTGCCCCGCCACTGCACTGCCCGCACTCCCAGCTTACGTGGACTCTTCCTCGAGATTTGTGCTTCTTACCTCCCCATTTCTGAAGTTCACATTTGTGTTTTGATCTTCACCCCCATCCTGATGAGACATATTTCATTTTTATGGCAAAAATGTGCTTTGACTCCATGGATGTCCTCTACTGGAGCTATTATTTCATTTTACTACTTTTTATGTCAACCTCAAAATGCAGACAGTACTGCTCCTTTGGTGCAGGGAGCTGCTTTAGTGAGGACGGTGTCCCGGAAAGTCCCCTCCCCAACATATAGACTCTGCTTCCTGTCTGAGGAACAGCCCTTAGGACTTGGGAAGCTGGGGCTTTCTGAAGAACTTTCTTTTGCCTTTAATTCCTCCCTCACTGGTGACAGCCATTCACACTGTGAAGTCCACCTTCCCACGAGGTAGTAGTTATCATTTCAGAAAGGAACCCTGTGCCCAGTTGGAGGCGCCTTCAGCTTGAGCCTTTGGGCATCTCAGTGCGGACCTGCAATAATGTTGCCACCTTCTGAATTTTATTGCTAGTGGACCGAGTAGCTGGAGCAGAGGCGTGAAGGTCTGTGTTGCAAGGTGTCCAGCTAGGAAAGGGACTGCGTGGTCTGTGTGTGCACCCTCCCCTCATGCTGTAGCGTAGGAGTGCACAGGGCAGTGAGCCCACCTCTTGGACTCACTGACCCTGTGCTGAGCGAGCTCGCAGCATGCGCATGGCCCACCCTAGGAGCATCCCTTTGCCTCTGCCCTGGTCTTCCTTGCAGATGGAAGTACACAGTCTCAGTCAAGTACACAGTTACTGGGCCTCTGTGTTGCTGGAGTCCTTGGTAGGTCACCTGCAGTTGGAGAGGGAGGAGGCTCCAGGCAGCCCGCTGGAGGGAGCGGCTCTGCCGCGCCCTAACTGTCCAGCCCACTTGTCCTGCACCTCAGGCTCGGCCTTGCTTTGCCTCAGAGCCAGAGGGTCACTGCATGAGGAGCATCACCATTTGAAGTGGTCACCGTGTTTGGCAGCCCAGCAGACCCCTCCAGCCAGTAGTGAAACTGAGGCTGCTGGACAGGAAGGGGCCTGTCTCAGCCAAAGCTAATGAGTGGTGGACAAGGATTTAATTTGCTGTCTTGCCGTGGCAGGGTTGCTTCTAAATGAAGAGCCACCAACCCGAGGTCAGGCCTAGGCAGCAGGAGGGGAGCCCTCCTGTGACGGGCCTCCAGGCTGTGCAGTAGAGCCCCTGCTCCGGCAGGCCCTTCTCCCTGGGGTTCTGTTATGGTTCGCCTTGGAGTGCTTCAGAGTGCCTGGCAGTGCCACTCAGCCCAGACCCACTGGGCTCCCGGCCCTGCCACCAGGACACTTTCTGCCTCCGGTGGTGCCCCTTATGGAAATGAGTGCTGCGGGCACAGAGGCTCCAGGCCTGGCAGTGTGTGATTCAGGGTCCTCCTGTGTTCACTGGTCTTTGGAAGCTGGCGATGAGTGAGGCGCCTGTGTGTGAGCTCTTGTCAGTGTTTTCAGAATGGGCCCCAGAGCGTTGGAGAGCCAGCCCCAGACAGAGCAGCTCCGGGGCTCCTGATGGCTCCCTCCCTCGCCGCCTCTTGGGACGTGGCCTAGGAGCTGCCTTAGTGCTTTGTTTTTGCTTTGTTTACACAGATGCTCAGTTTTCCAAAACCCTCAGGCACACTCTGGTGTTGAAGGGCATTTTGTTTGGGGGTGTGTTTGGGAACTGGTTGTAAACTGTGGGCAAGACTTACCTATGCTTGGACCTTGCCATGAGAGAAGGGAACCCCCACTGTGATCAGCACAGAGAGGCCCTTTTCTATTCCTGTGGTCAGTGGGCAGGTGGAACCCTCCGGTGGTCTGTGCTCTTGGGTCCGTACTAGGTGCCTTTACTTTTGAACCTGAAGGACCGTGGTCGGGTCTCTTTTCTGGGGTTTGTTCGGCAGTGTTGAACCGTGTTTCCACATCTTCTGCCCCTGACGGCTACCCTCAGTCTAGGCCCTGGGCCCCTGGCCGTGCAGTTTTGGGCTGCCTGTCTGCTCCTGGAAAGCCTCCCTGCCCTGCCTGCAGCCTGCCTGGGAGGAGGGTGTGCCCCTTGGCCAGGCTTCTGCAGACCATGCCCCTTCTGTCCACAGGGGGAGCTGGTGACGGCCTCCAAGGCCATCATTGAGAAGGAGTACCAGCCCCACGTCATCGTGAGCACCACGGGCCCCAACCCCTTCAACACACTCACAGACCGCGAGCTGGAGGAGTACCGCAGGGAGGTGGAGCGGAAGCAGAAGGGCTCTGAAGGTGAGTGGGAAGCAGCAGCCTGAGGCTTCCCAGCGAGGAGAGTCCTGTGCGTGAAGCGCAGACTGTGGCCTTGTTGAGGCCTGCACATCATCCAGCACACATTCCCGAGGATTTGAGAAGTTGAACACATTTGGGAATAGTGCCGTGAAGGGGTGGCCTCAGAGAACTCTGTGTCCCCGTCCCCCGTC